AAGCTTTACAAGCTAAATTAAAAACTTTATTTTCTGCATGCACTTTTTATTTTCTAAATGATCAAAATTCTGTGCGACCAGTTTTCGACTTTGCGAAAAAGACCATTTTTTGGTTGCACAGAATTTTGCATATTTTAAAAACAAAAGGTGCATATATATAAAATGACTTCTTCTTTATAACTTGTAGAGCTTTTCACACTGTATCTTATAGTATACTTTGCTTTAAAAATATGTCTATTAGAGGAGGATAAAAAAAGAGATACGAACACTAGCCATTCGTAGAACACCCGTTAGCTTTGAAAGTTGGGCACTTTTTATGTTTTGAATAATATTCATTTAGCTTTTTTCCTTCACTTTCTACAGAAATAAGTTTAGTTATGGTTTTGTAGAGAATTTTTTGGCGCATCTTTTGGCAAAACAACCAGCTCTAAAGATCAAAAAGAAAAAAAGTTATAATCAAAATACTGAGACCACCATTTATTTTGGGCCACCCGTGATTATATTTTTGAAAATTACTGTTAAAATGAAATTCGTACTTGAATCATTCAGTATTAATGGCTTTTAAGACATTTTGTCCCAAAACATCGTATATGTCCCGTGAATGTCAGCGATTCATCATCAGACTCAAGAGAAAAAGTATCATCAAGTGTGAGTTATTAGCTCTGCTCCGAGCACTACTTGAGCTTGTAGTTGATTTTATGATGCACCACAGATTCATACAAAAATCTGTTGAAAATCACTCAAATCTGAAACCCATAAGTAATATTTGAAGCCGTTGTCTTTGACATAGGATATTGTTCTAATCGTTTATCAGCTAGATTGTCACATTTCACCTATATGTTGCTACTCTCTTCTACGTGGTCATTTACAGACTACCTCTCTGTTTCTGAATAATTGTTCATCTGTCTACCAAACTTCTTAATGAATCGTACGTTCACAGATATTTGAAAGGTGCCTTTTTTCCGTCTTTTTATAATTAAAGAGATCTTTGATTCTGGCATGCAGAAGAAGATTGAGCTCGAGTACAGAAAACTCATTCAACAGTGAAATTATGTTTTATAAGATTTAACGCAGAATTCATAATAAAGTTATTAAAGATTTGCAGCAGATGTCAGAATCTGACATTTTATTTTGATTCTTCAGCTATGGTTATTTGTTGGGTTAAACTCTATTAAAAATATGAACCATTATGCAAAGTTCTTAATAAAAATACTACTAAAATGAATATCTGACAGCGATTTCACATTTTCTACATACAATTATCTTTGAGTTAATATATTTCAATCCGAAAACATGTCGCTATCTTCTCTGTTAAGACAGAACTGTTTCTGATTGTTCGAACAGTCCCTTATAGTGCAATCATTCGAAGAAAGAATAATGAAACTCGAAAATATTATCAAAATTAGTTCGAAGATGTTTGAAGATAGATGTGGATATATAAGAGAAGATTTACTTCTATACCCATTGTGTCGAAAAGAAATCATTGAAAAACAATGATGAAGAACACTAAGGATAAATAATGCTCTTTTTCTAAATAATAGTAAAGAAAAATGATTGATTCCAACAAGCAATTAATGACGAGAAGCACATCAATAATCATAAGTAATATTTTTACTGAAAAACTACTCTGAATTAGGTAAGCTAGAAATAAGTAATGTTTTAATGCGTCTTTCTTACCATACACACAAAAGTCCTTGTTCATAGAAGGTTTAATATTTTGTAATGCGTAATAATTCTATCAAACGTTGTGAATGTTTTATACATTATGCATAAGCCTTCGTTTTCATTCTGTGTATAATTTATTGTTGGAGACAATATCTTATTGAAAGTCTTTTTTCAACATATATTCAGCTTATATTTTCTACAGTTAACTAATAACTGTCTTTGTAAAATGAGCAAAAGTGAAATTATTAACGAACTATTGTCCTTTTTATCTATAGCATGCAATTCTTATCTAGTAAAAAACTATTATACTGACACCAAAGAATGTAAACTAGATTTTTACAAATATATGTCACATGATACAATTTGAACTGCATGATTATACAGATGAAATTGCAAAAAATGTGATTTTCTTTGGTTGAATAGATGCCATACAGGTGTATATATAGGATGGATGTTAATTCGACAAATATATATGGAAGCTCTTTTAAACATATCAATGACCATTCGTTGTACTATCATCATGTTTATCGATCAAAGATATAAATCTAACTAGTGAAATTAATAATAACACCATGGAAAGTAGTATAATTACGAGTCGAACGATTGATGAGGAAAATACGATCGAAGTTGAGTCAAGTATTCCGATCAGAAGCTTATTCATCGATATACTGACCGTAATTTCAATTTTATTTTGTCGAACAAACAAAACACGCATGACAAACATTCAGACAAAATGAGTCTAAAATTAACTAAAGCTTAAATGAATACATCGATTAGATAGTGCTTTCTTGATGAAATATCACTTGCTTGAACTTTTTCAGATTGTATATTTAGCTTTGTAACATCACTGTGAATGTATGCAAGATGATTATAGTAGGTGTTGAGGTAGAGTGTAGATTTGGTTTGCACGTAGTTTCAATTATGTTTTCATGCAAAGGAATCATTTTAACATATAATCCACATCCTTCAAATTTCAACTGTATAGCTGTTGTTTTTGTTTTTAAATATTCAGCTTCGACTATAGTAAAATTTCCTTTTGTTCCGTGTATTCGAGTCATCCTTAAGTTAGACGTTTCATGGTTACTTTAACGTTGAACATTTTCTCTATTCGATGCATTTAGACGATAATTTGATTCTAACTTTCAAGGAAATCAAACGTGAAACATTTTTACACACAGAAACTTGATAAATCATCAACATGTTTCATATTGGTTTACTCTGATTTGTTCATTCAAAATTATTCATTGATTTATTCATGTTGTTATTTATCACCTGTCATCGCTTATCTACTTAAATCAATACCCATAATATATACTGCTAGATGAACTCTGTTGATAAACAACATGTCGATAATAGTGTGAACATTTTATTAGCAAGAAAAGTACATATGAGCACATACGCCAGCAAAAAATTAACATTAAAGCATGTCATATAGCTTTAGATTTTTATAATTTCTTCATGAGACAAAAGTGCTGAAAAAAAAAAAAATTTTATATGCAATCATGGTAACGATGTTGTCATCGTTCTATGTAAACTCATTGAAAATGACTTGAGTTTTTTTTTTTTTTTTTTTCGAAATCATCTGTCTATTTGATATATAAATAGAAATGTCATGTACAGAGAAAGACTACTGAACTGACTACAACGTATAAGATTCTATAAACATATCATTTTTCTTTTCATTGGTTTAGACAACAAACATAATTGCAAATTATTTTTAATATTCTTTCTGACACAATGTCTTATTATTTGAAAGAGAAAGAAAAGAAAAAATAATAATAATTTGTACATAAAATAATAAATGTTTATTTTTCTTATTGAAATACTAGACGTAATTCATCACGAAACATACTTGATGTAGCAAAACAAACAAAAAATGGTGTTGAACATGATAAATATACGAAACAATCAATAATAACTTCAGCTAATTGCATCTGAACTGATTTCGATGTACCATTCATATATTGATCACGTATAACTTTATCATGTCTTTCAACAATTTTAAATATTTTATATGGTGCTGTACTAAATATAAATATAAATGATATACAACCAAGTGCAAATGTTAAATGTAGACGTCGATGTTTTGCACGATGACGTGTTAAAATAACTGTTGTTGTTGTTGTTGTTGATGATGATGATGATGATAAGGTTTGTAATGCTATTCTATCTGTTGCTATTATAATTGCACTTTCAGATGGATCTGGTGTTATATGCATTAATCTTGTTAATGTACTCCAACATTCTGTACGTAAACGTAAAACTTCTCTTAAAACACGTGAATTAAAACAGAGTATAAGAAAAAATGGTAAACAAGTTATAAAAACAAGATCAAGTAAAGATTGTCCATATGCCATATACATTGTAAAATAAACTGCGTTTATTTTAACTGAACATTTAACACTAGTACGATTTTTATTATTGACTGAATAATAACCATAGGATGTTGATAAAAAAGATGAATTTTTAATAAAAATACATAAAAATGCAATTGATAATAAATAATATATATAATTTCGTTTACACCAACGTGAATAATATGTATGATAAACACAACAAATAAACCGATCAGTTGTTAAACCTAATTGTAAATAAGCTGAAAAATCTAACATAGAATAACGTATATATTTATATAAACGACATGTTATTGGTGTTGAATAGATACGTATTGTTGGTTTCATATAAATTTTTAATAAAACATCAATAGTAAATAAATATAACAAAATTAAATCATTTAAACATAATAAACGTATACATATTGATGATGTTCGTGTTAAACGTTTTTGAAATTTTGGTCGACAAAATACAAGAAAACAAAGTGAATTACCAATTGTTGCTAATGGTAAAATAAATAATGGAAATATTCTATTTGTTAATAGAATAACACGTACAATACGTGCTTCTTCAATTGATGATGAACGATTCATTTTATTATTTATAAACTAGATTTTGTTTTTTGAAATGACACCATTACCACTAATGTGAACAAACATCTGACAGTAACTCAATGTCAAATATACTTTATATCTGCATTTATTTCCTTTTTTTTTTTTTTGCTCCGACAATCAACAAAGAAAGAAAAAGAAAAAAGTGCTCCATCACATTTATGAATTCATGTTTTTCTTTGTTCTAATTAACAAATACATTTCCGAATGAGAAACTACTAAATTGAACAAGTCAAATATTCGTGCTAGTTATGCATACATTAACTAGAATATTTATTTGTATATATATGTATATTTTCTTGTTTTTAGACTTCTTCTCTTTTCTTCTCGGTTTTTTTTTTTAATATTATCAACATGACAAAATTTGATTGATGAGAAAAAAGAAGAGACCAGACGATAGGTCATCGTTTCATCGATCGGATGAACGCTCTTACGTAGTATTGATAATTTATATTGAGCAGGTGAAGAATATTTTCGTCACTCAATTTCGCTTTCCTTTTTTTCTTTTTTTTTGTTCGTTCATTTAACTAGGAGCGTTGAGATAGGTAGGTGAATAGTGAAGAAGAACAAGGAGGAGCAAGAATATACCCTATGCATTGTCGACGACATTTATGTTTTTATATCAACACATAAGTTAACGATGCGCCATACGTAAGATGCATATCGTTTCAACGTTCATTATATGTTCACTCATATATGAAAGTGACGAACGAATAAACGCAGTTAAACAAGCGGTGAGCTCAACATTAACGAGAGAAGTCCCCCCACTCATTAGTTATCTTTAAGTTTGAACAATATTCATTATGTAGACTATATTGAATTATAAATATCATGAAAGAAGTATGTACTGTTAACTTATTATTACTGAGATACTACATTTTTACGATTCTTTTAATCAGACCTGTCGTGATTCCCGCCAAGAAAACCGGAAAAACTTAATTTTCATTAATTGTCAAAGTTTCACATCTTTTCGTCATTCCTATATAGATGAGTGGTAGATAGACATCTGCATGAAGTGACAGAAGTTCTCTAAATTATCTATTAATAAATTAGATTGAAAATTATAGGTTGCGTTTTGAATGATGAGTTTTATTCTTTGATATTCATTTTACACACGGATGTATTTTGAAAGTAAGATTGACTTCAACTTCTTCTCATGGTTGTAGACCTTGAAAAAACATCAGTGCATATAGTGAATATAAAAGAATAAAACTTGTGTTATATTTGAGAATACAATATCTTAGTAACGATAATCTAATTGAACGAATACTTTTTTTTCAGAATATTCATAACTTATTAAGATCTACATATTTGATATTAGTTGGACTGAAGAGCTATTATTTCATATCAAAATTTTCCTTGTAAATTAATGAAAAAACTTCGATTACAACTTTATTTCATACATATATTCATAGAAATATTGTATATACGCTTTTCTTTTCATTGTCCTTCATTAAAATGGTGATCATTTGTTATCAATAATACAAGGTAATAGTTCTCTCTTCGACAAATAAACCAAGAAGAAAAAAAAAAGATTTTATTTACTCTTTATCATCAGCCTTGATCACTCTTTTTTTTCTCCTATGTACAAATGTAGTTTGTTGTTCATACAATTGCTCTGATTTTTTTACATCATTCTCATGTTAACGCCTATATAACCTTCGTCATATGCTGTCATAATTTTTTTTTACTATTATAGATACTTAAATATAACCTCTTTTAAAGTGAATTTTATATAAATGAACTGTATCTTCTAATTTATAAAAAGAAAAAAAACAAGTATAATCATGTCACGAAAGTATTCTTCATGGGCATCCAATCAACCTTCAATAAATCCAAATTTGTCATTCATGAAATTAACAACAGTCGGAGGCAACGAACAAGATCAACGTACATATTTATTTTTATTAAAAATAAAAAAACTTTTATTACATATACAATCATTTACTTTTATTTAGTTAAAAATCTCGAAAGAGTTGAAGCGATTCCACATATGTATATAAATGTGGATGCACCACCACCACCATCATCATCATCAATGGTAAGTAAATGCTTTTTTTTTTATGTATGCATGCACATACATGCTTGTGCTTCTAACAGACAAATATCAATACTCGAGCTATGCAACCAACTATGATATCAAGACACAATTCATCTTTTTTTGCTGTAAGCTTTATTGTGTTTATTTTATTTTATTTTATTTTTCTTAATCTATGAATAGTAAATTTTTTGTTATTTATTTTTATATAGACACCAACTGTTATAACAAATGCTCAAACAAAAATATGGCCTGTTGAAAAATCATCAAAAAATTCATCATTTGAAAGTACATCATCAACATCAAAACGAACTCATAAACATAAACATCATCATCATCATCATAATGATAAACGTCATCATCACCATCATCATCATCATAATCGACGACATCGTGCTAAAAGTGCTGAATCAATTAGAAATCGACCAAATCAAACATTAATGTCTCCATCAAAAATTATGGTCACCAATCCACAATATATTGAACAAGATCAACAGCAACAACAACAACAACAACAACCAATGGTTGTCTATCGTGAAGTTCCTAGTAATGAAGGTTATACAATTGATAATAATCGTTTAGCTACTGTACCTTATGATACACAAAATGAAACAGCTTTAATTGATGATCAACAAGCACCTTATATTGTCTATCGTGATGCTAATTTTCAACAACAACCACAATCAATAGTAACTGATGGATATTCTCAACAATTTTTTTGTAATCATGATCAAGAAGCAGTAAGTTTATAAATAATTCTATGTCTATTGTTTTATTTTTTTTGTTTTATTTTCTTATATTATTATTATATAATTTTTGTAAATTTCATTAATTAATTATTCTATAGAATATTAAACAACAAAATATTCCTTTACAGTCTATTGAAAACAATATGATTTCTCATCGAGTACCATCTGTAAATGAATCACAAGTTGTCAATCAGTTCCCATGTATTTGTAATCAATCTCGTTTGTTAATGAATTGTAAACCATCTGTTAATACTGGCTGTATGCAAGAAATTGAGCAAATCTATACGGGAGATGTTTGTTGTTATCCATCGTCAACTGTCAATTGTGTTTCAGATTCTTGTGTAGGATAAATAAATTCGCTGCATAAAAAAAAAACAAATGTTTGCCTGTGCATGTTCATGCTTTGCATATATTTTATTATTTCCTTTTTGTATATATAATTTCAACTATAATTTTCTTTAGTTTATGCAACAAAATGAACCATCAATTTGTTTTTCACCACCACTACAACAACAGCAACAACAACAACAACAACAACAGCCATCACAAATAGTCTATTGTACTGATTCTAATCAACAAGAATATATTTGTGCATCAAATAATAACAATTTTATTCAACAATCTATATCACCACAACAACAACAACAACAACAACAATTTGTTTGTCTTGATAATTTATCAACAATACAACCAACAATTATTAATCAAATACCTGTTTTTAATTCTTTACCAACAAATTCAACTTCACAATCTCTTATCACTTTACCACAATCACAAGTTCAACGTACAGCAAATTTTGTTATTCAACAATCTCAACCTCAATCTCAACCTCAACCATTTCAAATTATTCAACAACCACAATCATTGCAAGTTATTCAACAACCTCAATCATTACAAGTTATTCAACAACCACAACCATTACAATTCATTCAAAGTTCACAACCACAATCGGGACAAATTTTACAATTTGCTTCGGCAACACCACAATTTATTCAAAGTCCACCTGTTCTTCAAACTATTCAAGCTCAACCTGTTCTTCAAACTATTCAAAGTAGATTTCTTTCTCTTAATTCTTTATTCATCTTTAATCAAAAAAAATAATAAAAACTTAATATTTTTATAGTACCAACTCAAGCTGTTGCAGGTAGTTAAATTAAATAGTTTATATTTTGGTGATGGTTATATTTAGATTACTAATGAAAATCTTTTTTATTTTTTCTATTAATTTCATTGTAAGGTAATTAACTAAATGTCTATAAGAATAACAAAAAAAAACAAAAAAAAAAAAAGATTTATTTATTTTTTTTCTAGCTAGTCCACAACTTCTTTATCAACGTCCATATGATCCAGTTGTTGTACCAATTCAAAATCAACCAATGGCTATTGCAAATCCACCTGTAGTAGCATTAAGTCAACCATCTTATGCACCATCACGTATTATTCCAGCTATACAAGGAACACAATCACAGCCACCAAATATGTTTCGTCAAGCACTTATACGAGTAAAATCTTCAATATTAACCTCAAATACATTTCTTTCTTCATAATTTTTAGACTGTTGCTGGTCGAACTGGTTTACCTATTCCGGCATCGGGTGGTGGTGGTGGTGGTCTTCAATTAATGCAATCTACAGCTGGAGCACCTATAGCTTCAAATCCAAAGTAATTTTTAGTTCTTTTTTTTTCTCTTTTTAATTGCGACTGTATTATATTTGTGTAATGAAATTATGCTTTACCTAATCATTCAATGAGATATATATATATATATATTATCAGAAAAAAAAAACATTTGATGTTTATAGTTTACTATTAGCTGATTGTGTAGAACAATCAGCATCATTGCCAATCGTACCATTAACACCAGGTGGTTTACTTATACCATATCAACCATCAGAAGCATCAGGATTAAGACCACCTGGTATACTTCCACGTGCAGGTGGTTATCCATCAAATCTTCAAAATTTTAATGATATTCAAGAACAAATTGAGCAACAACGGACTCAATTAACAAAGAGTTTACAGCAAGAATATTTAAGTCGAATACCATCACCACCTGTGATTTCTACAGCATCTAGAAATCAAACTACTCCATATACGTCAGGAAATAGGTTTTCTTCAGATGTTAGACCAAGTGGGACTTCCTTTCCGCCTATACCATCAACATCATATGTTCGACCATCTTCGACAGCACCTAACTATTCTTCACCTTCCTATATTGGTTCAACTAGTGGATCAATTCTATCAGGTCCATCGACTGGTCCTTATCGTCCTCTTGGATTATAAATATTTGAGTAAGATATTATTTCGCGCTAGAATGATTAATCATCCTTGCCAAGATTGCTTTTACCCAGCAAGGCTATCTGTCATGTTGAATGCATCGTTTTTGCTTTAACTTATTGTGTGTTTGATAAAGAAATTTATTGACTTAAACAAGAACAAACTAAACAATTATATAATTTTCTTTTTTCAGAGGTGCCGTCAATCCATTCAATTCATCAGGATGTTCAATCATGTAGAATTGCTACAAGAATAAACTTTTTTTAAAAAGAAAGAATGTTCGTTTTTTTGCTTATATATATATTCAATTGTGTTGTTGTTGTTGAACTTTTCAATTTTTTTTCTGTTTTTCTCTTTTTGTATTAACGAACATACACGTATAGTTTTTAAAAAAAAAAGAAGTTAGTATTATTAACTATTAGATATTTTATGTAATATGTTATGATCATAATTGGATAAATCAACATCATGGAATTTTTGAGAATCATTTAGATGTTGTTTTCTTTTTTTGATTAGTTTTTTATCTCCTATTGGACTATATTCGACCTATTCATAGAAAGTATCTGTTTGAAATAATAAACTTCTTTTCATCATTCTTTAATTAAGATATATGAGTTAGAAAATACTGTTTTTATAAAAACAATTGAAAATAAGTCTTGTTTGTCTTTTAAAGTTACATACATACACACACACACTAATTATCCTGATGTTGATAAATACTGCTAGGGATATCATGCATTTGTAGAATGATTTTGAAAGACTTCTTGATTAAAAAATATGAGAGCAGCATTTTTCATGATAACAAGAATTATTTTTGATCAATTTGTAGTGAATAATATGATAGAAACTTTCTCTCAATATAGTACTCTTGCTTTTTTTTACTATTATATTTGATCATTGTTCGACCAATATCATAACAATTAAATTTCAATAAGATCTGTTTGATTATGATGCATGACGGTTAAATTAGTTTATATTGTCTTCGATATGTATTGTCTTTTTGATCTATTCTTTGTTCTTTCTCGCCTTCTCTAATGCGTAGCTGTCGATGCATATTAGGACAAACGAAAAAGTAGTGTCGGCGCAATAAAAGCAAAATACAGAAGTAAGTAGCTCGTGTTTCTTGTTTAATCTCTTATCGACTGACACGAAACTATTTAAATCATCTCTTAACTGTCCTAAGAGAAAAAGCTTCATCACCACATATATAGAACATAATTTATCATGAATAAATCTTGATTGAAAATTAATTGTAGTGAACACTTTAATGTAGAAGCAAAAATTTGTCTTATTCATCTAAAAGAAAGATGAACAATATCAACATTTAATCGAAGTCAATTATTTTTTAACTTTCTTCAAAATATGCTAATAAAAAACAAATGCAAATAAGACATATGTCGTTATAAAACTAGATATGTGTAGACGATTAGGCTTTAAAAGACAGGCGATAAATGAGGAGAGGAAGAAGAGTTTATATAAGTTTTTTATAACGAATTAAAGTACAGCCGCCATTCCTTTTGGTATGCTCTAGAGTACAATTAGATATCTTATTTTTCTTTTCCCATACTGTAATATTGCTTTCGAGGTTAACTAGTAGTTACTAATACCGATGGTGTGATTTTTCTTCGTCTTCTGTATATTCATGTTGAAAATCATTCCAATAGGTAGTTGACATTAAGTAAGTCAAAGAAATATTTATTGTATTACTGTTTTTTTTTTTCGTTGTTATTCATGTGCGAAAATTTCAATAATCTATCGATGATATTTCATCATTTTAAATGGTGCTATCAGTCTCAGAACGATAGGCAGATAATGCAAAATGATCAAGAAGATCGACTCAAATGACTTATCAAGTCCTATTAATCGTTCGGCGTAATTCGTACAAGAAAGAAATGATTCAAAACACAAAAAATCTAGTAGCATCACGAAAGTTAGCAAATAAATTTTGCTATTGCTGAACGATTGGTTTCACGAATATTAGAAGATGATCTGCAACCTGATCTGCTGCTTGCAATGTCAAGCCATATTCTGAAATTTTAGTCTAGCCTTATTCGGCCTAATTAACAGGTCATAACAAAATTGTTGTACTGGCTGCTAAGTTTTGGAAATCAAATATTGATGCAATTCGTTATTATTCAGGAGTATATTAACAACTTCATTGAATTCTAGCGAAAAAATTCTTGAACCGACCGTCAATTTAATGTGATGGGACCTACATTTATTGACAGAAGAACTTTTTTAGATTCAAAACATTAGGATAGTAAATTTTACAATTGTACTGTTGCGAAAGTTGATTGTCAGATGTAAGTATTCTTGTCTTTTTTTTATCAGTATCACTTATTTCTTATACTTTCTTTTACGTCTTCGTTTAATGTCTCATCGTATGTTGTTTTAGTTATCATGTTTATAGTTTATTCGAAAATGCACAACAGACCTGATATGATGCACGACATTGCATTAATTGAAGCATTTCTTATATGAAAATTTTTTATTATTATTATCTCTTTGTGTTAATTTTGCTATGTCGTGCAAGAACTTGTTGTTATCTTATTTTTATGAAAATAAATCAAGTTAACAACTGAGATGAGATTGATACATTAATGTAGAATTGTAGAATCAAATGAATTCACAAAACCAGAAGACATTAATCGGTCTGGTTTGGTTTGCAGAGCGAACCAGAAAAAACTGAGATGCCAGCATCTCTGAACGATACTGTAAATTTTTGCGCAATATAAGTTCTTTCCAGATAAACGTATCATAAATAAATTCCTCTGATCTTACAGCAGCATGAAAAGCGAAATTTTTTACTCTTTCTAGATCGACATTAATAAAACTAACCAAAAGTAAGAGAATTTGACAATTGATGATATGCAAAATAATGGAGATAACATCCAAAGAAAGAAACAACTATAACGCTTCTGGGTGAATCCGCCGGGTTTCAACCACTTTGTGGAAAATTTTTTTTTTTACGATTTTGATATTCTAGTTAGACGGGGCATAGTCGAAAACGGTCTGGGGTAACAATTAAAATCTTTTTGAACACATAAANTCGAAAATCATTTTTTCTGGTTTTTCTGAGTGGGATCACGGCATTTATTTAAAAACATACCGTAAAAGTGCAGTATCTCCGTAGCGATAAACTAGCAGCCCGAACTTTTATTAGGATATTCATAACCCATTTGTACATACATAACGCACATAGTTTCAACACAAAAGAGATTGATCAGTTGGGGATCTTCCCTCGTCAGTTTTGTTTTAAGTATCATAGAATTTTATTTATAATTACATAATGCATCATTGATTTCATTATTATTTTTGTCAACATAATACTTCATCGATACTCTCCATGGGCGTGAAACATTCATTTGCATAATCATGCCATGAATTACCTGAAATTAAATTAGTTCTATCTTGATTAGATCATTAATATTCGAAACACATTATTAGATGCAGAGTTTATATTAAATTCAGTTATATTAGCTTCAATCAGTCTTTTATTATTGCCCAAATAATATGCATGTATATAATTTGCTTGTCCTTGACTGATGTTTTATGACTAATTTCAAATGCATTTTGTTCAGTATGACTTACAAGGGAACATTTTCAGATGTTTGTTTGATTTTTTTTTCGTCAGGACTTAGTGAACTATGCCTATTGGAAAAAAGAGTTCGTGCATTTGACTTTTTTCTGAGAAGATTGAACCTTTTACTGAATTTCAGAATTCTTAGACTAAACCTCTGCGAAGTATAAAATTTTCAAAACAACAAGTAGCTACTGTCTGAGATCTCTATATGCGCAAAATATCAGATTAGAATTCGAAAATATGACTGTGCTGAGAATGTGGAGGGTCCTACAATGAGAATTCACTAACAATGTTCGATCTTCTCAGAAACATTTCATAGACACGAGCTATTTTTATAGTAGACATAATGTACTAAGGTCTATTACAAAATATATAAAATCTCGATTGAACATCGAATTAAAATCTGAAAATGTTCTATCGTTAGAATCTAAGCAGAATATTCATGTTGAAAATTGATTTCATAAATCATTTGAATAGGCTATTTTCTCAATAATCATTGCTAAGTTAAATTAGAATAAATATTTGAATAATTAAAAGAATTTTCTATTAGACGAAGAGTTTTTTCATCAAAATTTTGTTAGAAAACGATTTTCTTGAAGAATAGTTTTCGAGATTATATTGAAAATGTTTTTTCTCTGAAAATAAACTTTTATGATAGTGTAAAATGGGTTATTTCCGAGCTGTTCACAATTTTCCTACGCCAAACTGCGTTCAATTTACAAGAAAATTCAAAAGCGTGAAACATAATCAAACAAATGAATACACTGCACTTTTCGTATTTTAAGTGCAGTTAGATAAAAAAAAAATAGATCGCGGAAAACTTGGGAGGAATATCACAAAAACTAATTTTCAAAACGTTTTCGATTGAACTTATAAAAACAGATTTTTTTTAAGAATTTTTCATCTTCCACAGGAATTTTATCTACAAAAAAAAAAAAAATTTTTAATGATAACAGGAACTCTTGTCAGCTATTCAACACTGTAATTTGATAAAACGCAAATAACTAACTTAAAAATGAGCTCTTATTTCAATATATGCTTTAACAGAGTCTTGTCCAATGAATGAAAAAAATTCAAAGACAACGAAGCAAAAAAAAAAATAATTTATCCAGATCAAATCTTAGTAGATGATGAAAGAATTTTTGTTTTTCAAACAAAATTTTTCAATTTGAGATACTTATTAGAATAAAATGATTAATGTTAAAAATATTTTATTGACATTAAAATTACATATTTATTATTATTTGTCTATGTCATATTATATCGCCTAGAATTGATAATGATCGATCAATTGCTAAGTGCTTATTTTTTTAAACTCTAAAATCAACTGTAATTTGACTCACTAATATAGGTCAATAAATACATCTTTATTATTCAATATTTTCACTTTTTACCTAATATTGACAAACAGCTTTTATATTAT